GAAATTGAATTTCAATCCCTCGTCACGCGGTCGACACGCGCGGCCACTTGCGACGGAAGGGCAGGAGGGGGACGCGTCGCCTTATTGTTCGCGGTGGCACTCGCGAGCGCGCCGCAAACGCGGTGCCGGCGGTTATTTCGCGCTCGTTAAATCTGCATACGTACCACCCTCGGTCGGCCGGACGTCCTCTCGGCCGCGTATTTCTTCGACGTGTCCGACGTCGAATTTCCTCCGGCTGGAGTGTACGGCCGGGAGACGGTCGTTCGTCCCGCGCGTCGCTCTCTTTAATTTACGGCCGCGTTTATATAAACATGCGGACAAGTAGGGTCGCAAATTGAATTGGTCATTTTGGAAGGAGAGAATTATTTTAGAAGCCTTATCCCTCGCGCGAGAAAACGCACGGGTGGGTATTGGCACAATTTGCACGATATTTTACGTATCGATTTATTGTCGCTCGTCGTGGACCTGGATTACAATTTTTTTTCCGCACGAAACTGTGACGTTTACGTAAGAAACGATGACGCGTACAAATTTAGTTTCGAAAAAGAGCCGCTTCTAAAATGGACAAATCCATTAGGTGTACATATTACGAATCGAATCAGATGGGGTTGAGTGGAAAGGTGCTCGTGTTATCCTTTCATAAAAGAGATAGAGTTAAGATAATTCGTGCCTCCCGCAAGTATAACTGAACTAAGAAATAAGAAAGTGTAGTTATGTCATTCCGGATTGTTCAACAAGTTTGACATAGCAATTTGAAATCTTACCGCGTGCAGCATCTACGGTCGTAGATTCGTGTTCTTGTCCGCGAGACTTTGTCAGATCAACTAGCGCATCTTGCGGCTCGACACGTTGACCATTCGGCGTTATTTTTTAAACGGCTGTGAGAAATAAATCCTATCTAATCTAAAGTTTCGACTGACATAAATAGATAGAAGCGTAAAACAGAAAAAAAATGTTCTGTTAAACCACCCACGTCTTACTTGATAGACCGAAGATGCACAATATTTGATCGTTGTATGCTTATGATAATGGAAAATCGTACTGTGGCGTGATAAGAGACGCGTAAAACCCGTCTGGCAGATAAGGCGCTGAGCAAGCGAGCCTTTTTGCCCGAGCAAGTAAACAGGGAGTCCCGCGTACTTTTAAGCAGGTATATCGGAAGACACTTGGCAATCATTCTTCCGGAGCCGGACGGCCGGCCTAAAACGAAAGTTCAAGGGAGGATACGCTGTGTCAAAGTTAAGCCTGGAACGTGGATTACGTATACTCGCGAAGACGTAGTTAACCCCACGCTAGCACTGATATACTAATTGAATTAGTTATTTCGAAGCAGAAAGTTAAGGGCACGTCTGCGCCAAGTTTTCAACATGAAATAGCTGGCAGAATCGACGTGCTAGCACGCCGAGTTCGAAAGTTCTTATTAACCCGGAAGTTTCGTTCAGTATCGCGCCTGAGTGTTATTTAATTACTAATTCGAAGAATATGTGGCCCCGCGCGCTTTTATGAGGGACGGGGAGAAGTTTTCTCCGATTAATTTCGACGTCCTTAGCCCCTCTCCCTGCCGGAGGGCCAGAGGGCCGGGCATCGATTATTAATAATCGGATCCTGGAATGCGCGCAGCGCGGGGCCGTAATTTCCGCGAGATCCGATCGCCCCGGTTCGTCCCGCGCGTGAAGGACTGTGTCCGTTTTAATTACCGCGATCGACCCCCATCAATTTTTCTCGCTTTATTTGTCTGGCCCTTTTTTTTCTCCACACGCACACCTGCGCGCGCGCGTCCTCGACCCTCGTCCTCGCTCCGCGAGCACTGTTAACGCGAAATGCTGCTTAATGAGGAGATGAATAATTATAATCTCGCGTTAGCCATGGCGCGCACTTATCGAGGTCTAATTTGCGCATGATAACACTCGCGAAATGAATTAGAGGGATTAACAATTCATTTTATCGGAAGCAAAATCCACTACTACTCGAAGCTCTCTCTCTCTCTCTCTCTCTCTCGCACTCCGATCTCTCTCCACTTGAGAGGAGTGCGCCCAGTCTGCGCTCTTTTATGGTAAACGCAGATGAAGGGGGGGCGGGGGACGGGAAAGGGCACCAGCGGGCGATTAAAATATTTTATACATGTAAAGTATCCTATCTTTAGTACAGCAAATTTTAACGATAAGTTCTCTGATGAATAATGAGTCGATTTTTCTTTCCAACGCGAAGGTATAATAGAAGCAAGTTTCATTCCCAATAGCGAGCGCATCGGATCAGGTAAAAAAAAATCGTTGAATCGAAAAATCGTAAAATAAAATAAATCTAAAATTAACCCATCGCACTCAAAGCTTTCTTGCTGAAAAGTTGAGGATATTTTTTTAACTGTCATAAAAACAATACATATATTAATGGATAAGACGAACAGACAATATGTAGAGAAAAGTCCCCTATTATGAGATAAGTTCCTAATATGAGATAGCAGGGTTATCATCTATTGGTTTCATCGTGAATTTATTGGTCTTGGAGTGAAATCTGTTTAGTGGAAAATTCATTGTTAGATCGTGTAATCGTTGTGAATAAAGATTCGTGATTAAATCCGAAATCTATATCCCGCAAAAGTGAAAAAAATATCAGGAGAACATGACCGGCGAGGAGGTCGTACTATCAAAAATTCTAAGAATTTCATTGATACTCCCAAGAATTTATGATGTTGAAATCCTACTACCTCATATTAGAAGCTTGTCTCATAATATAGGACTGTCCTCTATGCGTGGCAAAGGCTTTCAGCTATGGCTCTCCTCGTATACATGTCGAAGATCGTCTTTCAATCGCAGTTCGAGTCACTGCGTTCAACCAAGAGAATCGCTTCTCGACTGCGCGGGGTTAATCGAGCGACAAAGGAAAGATTTGCTTATGAACGTTAACCGTTTATTAATCTTACAATTGTTCTCTAATTCGATGAACGATACATTAATCGCGACTAAATCCTGCCCTTAATATCTCCGTCGGACCTCGTGACTCTCGTTGAAAGGGTCCAGGATTTAACGTCCGTCGCGTGCGCGCGCGCCGAAATGGGTACATCCGCGCATCCGGCGTAAGAACGTATTAAACTTAAAGCAAGGCCCCTCTCCGCGCGCGTATAAGCTCCGCTCTGCAAAATATTTGCAACATTCGGGAAATACGGCGGATCGCACGCGGAGGGAAGCTAATGGCATGCCGGGGCTAGCGTTGGGTCATTCCACTTGCACGGATTGCATATAGGTTTACAGCGCTCTCCCGGGGCGGGGGAGATGATGGGTCTCGCCACGCTGCCAGGAGATATAAGCCGCTTTACGCGCTCTTCTCGCATCCTACGGCCGTGTAACGCTTGTCGCGCGAGTTCGGTGCCGCGTCGCGCGGATACGCGAATGCCCCGAGCCTTGCGAATTTAAAGCGGATATCTTCCGCGACACTCTATCGATTGAGCCCTCTGATTCTGTGCGAACGCGAAAATGCGTGCATAATTAACTTGCCAAGGTCCTTCCTCCTCCTCCTCCACCTCCTGCTGCTTCTCGACAACGTTCGTCACCGCGGGACCTCTCGTCCTCTATTAGCGCGCATCTATCTTTTACGCGACCTGCAGACGCGGCTCGTGTAGCACGCGTCGAACGGAACTCTCGCGTCGAATATTTCATATCGAGAAGAAAAACGACTGCTTCCCGAAACACAATGGAAAATTGAAAACTGCTCTCTCTCAAAGTCAATCGGTGGATCATCACTGAAAAGCAGTGAACAGTCACTGATCACAGTTATGAGTATACTGCTGATTGACTTTAACACTAGAAGTACCGAGCGGTCACTCCTGAGTGTTCCATTTTTTTTTTAGATTAATACCCTGTTTCTCGTATAAAAGATAGGACTCTGAAATTTTATAGCTTTTCACCAATCAAACGACTGATGAAAAGTCATAAAATTTCAGAATCTTTTCTTTTATTGCCAGAAATAGAGTTTTGATATCTAGAAAATAGAAACGGTCAGAAGTGACCGCTCGGTACTTCTAGTGTTAAGAGAGCGGTAGATAATTAATAGATCGCGGGGGGGGGGGGCAGGTAGAAGCGGGCGCCATACGTCGCGCGGCTGTACGATCTTCATTCAACGAGATCGCCGACAATCTCGCGAGTCCGCGAACGATTTCTGAGTTTTCGCGAAAACTTGAAGACGTTCGATCGAGGTCACCTCATGGATATTTCAGTTTACGTGCGTCGTCGTGCGGTTTCCGCGCGCGACGCGGGGGTGTAACGCGAGGCCGGCCTTAAATTTCTACGACGCGGAGGGGTCTTTACACCGAGGCTCGCATGCCCGAAGTTTCGACGTGGTTCCCCCACGGTCGTCGACGTGATGCCCGAACGATCGCGTGCTGATTGGACGGCATTTGTCGGGCTACTGTCGGTCGGTCCGGGTCCCGCCCGCAAGATCGGGAGGTACACTGATTGCAGGCTTGTAGCCCCGGCGCCGCCGGAGTTTTCCCTCGGCTCCCCGGTCCGCGTGTTTGCTTGTCTGCTCGTGAAAGTTATCATCTCCTGAATGAAGTTTGCACTTTTCCGCGCACGTAAGGAGATCATCACGATCCCGAAGGGCCGAAGGCGGGCGGAGAGGCGGCGGCGGCGGCGAGCAGGACGGGGGCTGTAATTTATGACGCGAGGAATCGATGGTGACTCGACTGATTCGCGACTTACGCTTTGACGGGGTACTTTTAGATTTTCGTGTGTCGCCGATAAGACGCACGCCAGAATGCAATTAAGCGGAGGAGCCGAGCGACGATAGCGATCTCGTTATTGTAACTCGTATCTGAGATATACACATTGCTTTTATGGTTCTATTATTTTCGGGCGGGAAAAAAATGTTACGGGGAAACGGAGTTATAAGATCGATCGTAAATATCGGATCGGCTCCGTTGTGTGCTGACAATTTTATTACGTTTTTACGATATACACGCGATTTCCGTATATCAGATATTTCTAGAGAAATAAGGAACCATTCTCTTTTTCACGGGAGATGCTGTAAAAGTTCATTTATTCCTTTTTCCAACAAGTTAAAAATACCCTCACTGTTGAACACACGTGTATTACCGCGTTATGCAAAACGTATAATGCACGACGCGAGCGATAGTTTCTATCTTAAAAAAAAGTATACAGTGTTTTCAGACTTACAAAATAGAATATCTTTCGATTAACTCGCGTGACGGAGGATATCACGTTTCGATATCGCGAACCTTGTAGAACGCCGATATAAGGGAATTTACTTGAATGGCGTCGCGACACCCGCCAGCCAGTCTTTTTTCTATATCTGCCATTTTGCACAGTAAATCGATGAACATCGAATCGGGAAATGCAACTGAAAGAAACATGCTTGTTAGAGATAATCGCAAGTATCGCGCGTACACGTTATAAAACACCGTACGTACTTGTGACTACGCACGAGTGAATTTCCGTCAATATATCTTGCAGCGCAAGTCCTTTGTTCAACTTCAGCTCTTGAATCTCTGCGAAATGTATATTAAGGATCGCACAATTCGGACACAGAGGAACTATCTAACACCTGTTATGCCTTTTCTACACTTAAGGATGATTCTGCTCGTGGCTCATCCCGGGAGAAGTTTACACAGATATTTTAGTATGACCGTCATACTAAAGTATGATTTTTGTATAATTTTTAACCGTCTTCTTAAGTGAAAAGGCACTCGAGTCCATAAACGGTCTCGATACGGCGATCTTTGCCAGTCTATCTTACTCGGCCTCATTCTTAGGTGTAGAAAGGGCAGTATTGTCAAAGGATACTCTTGTAGCACGTATCATAAGGCTCGTTCAGCAACCAGTTTAAGATACTTTTTATGTCACTTGGTAACGGATGTCCCACACAATTGTACACGTTCTCTGCGCTCACCATGCCGTAAGCGAACCATGTACTTTGTAGTACGCTTATTACTTTCCTCATATCTCCACCGCTTAACGTCATTAACGCTTCCTTCCCGTCCTCCGTAACTTTTAAGCTATAAAACGTTTCATTAGCGGAGGACTTCAAGAAGATAGAGAAAGGCATGGCCAACCTACGGCCTGCGATATTTGGAAAAATAAAAAATTAAAGAAAGAAAACTATAAAACTAGTTCAATTAATACTTAAATTTAACATTAAAATAGCTATTTCTCATAAAAAAATAAAGAAAGTTTAATACTTTTGGGACTATTTCGGCCCGTGGAAAGTTTGAAGATTTTGAACGCAACCCGTAAATCGAAAATGACTGGCCATGCCTGAGATAAAGAATCGTAATTAAATATACGATAAATCCTCGCTCACTTTTCCGCTTCAATGACATGATTCAATCTCGGCATTATCTGCTGCGAGGCGAGAGGCAGGAATCTAAACCTGGTGCAACGAGACTGCAAAGCCGGGATAATCTTGCTCAGGTAGTTGCATATGATGCAGAAACGCACGTTATCCGTGTACTTCTCGATAACTGAAAGTAACACCCGTGATATAAACACCTTGCGATCCACGAGTCTCGAGACGCACGACGCTTACTTCTCCTCAGTGCATTCTGAGCGTCGGTCGTCATAGCGTCGGCCTCGTCCAGGATAATCAATTTAAACGCAGATCTGTACATAGTGCCCGTGCTGGCGAAACTCAGGATTTGGCCGCGCACGATACCGATGCCTCTGTCATCGGAAGCGTTCAATTCTAGCACCTGAAACACACATGCGACAGTGAGACAAGGAGATGCGAAACTACTTAGGCCTGGTTCTTCATTGTCTGGTTAACTGTTAACCAGAGGTTAGTCGACTCTCCGGCTCTTCTCAGCTAACATAGAAAAAGTAGGAGAGTCGACTAACTTCTGGTTAACAGTTAACCAGAAAATGAAAAGCCGGGCCTCAGGCTCGATTACACCAACGTCGCTTAAGCTTGGCTCACTTCGTCCTTTGTCTCTTTCCAACCGTTTTCTTACAGACAAACAATAAACTAAGGCCTGGTCTACAATACGTGGAGTAAGTCTGGAGCAAGGAGTAAGAGTATAAGGAAATTATCAACTTTATTTCTTACTCCTACTTCAACTCTTACGTTTACTCTCGGACAAAACGCCGTCGGCCAGTGTTACAAATATTTTAAAAATTATGCCTATAGTTTAGCTTCCTTACACCAAAAGCTAACGGGTCTCGCTTTCTCCTTACACCAAGCTTGGTCCATGTATTGTAGACCAGCCTTAAGATTGAGTATTCTGCAAGATTTTTGCCCTATGAACTCTGTGGCTCTTCGGCTTCCTTCTTTTCGTTTTTCACTCTTTCTTTCTTGCTCGACAGTGCAACATAGCTCGTAGAGGACTTTTGCCCTATGAACTCTGTAGCTCTTCAGCTCTCCTCTTTTCGTTGTTCGCTTTCTCGCTCGGCGGTGCTACATAGCTCGTGGAGACAAAGCGTTACAGAACATTTGTACAAAGTATCCTAAGTTAAGCGACGTTGGTGAAACCGGACGCCTTAGCCACGGATACGCAACCATTGAGTTGAATTGAGCCGGGGTGTAGAGTTTACGTGCGCACGCCAGTATAGTGCTGGTCTTGCCCGTCCCGGGTGGCCCGTACAGCAGAAGATGCGGCAGCTGATTCTCATCAATGTACTTGTTTACTGTAACGAGCAATCGCCGCTTGTTTAATGAACGCGTCCGCGCGTTGTTTACCCGAGTCGCTTACTTACTCGTCTTTATTATCGTCTCGTGGGAAATAAGCTCGTCCAGGCTCTTGGGACGGTACTTCTCGACCCTGAAAAACGCAACAAGGTCGTCAGCCGGCGCTCGCGGACCGACGCCTCGAGCGTCTCCGTATTGTTATTCGCACTCACCATGGTAAATTCACGAGCCGCTCGTCGCTGGACGTCATCGTGAAATCGCCGGCTCCCAAACGGTCACCGTTTCAACGACTTGGAGGTTATGTTCTTGCCGCGCGTCTCGCCGGAGTCGCCGCTGTCGCCGGTCGCGCCGAAGATACGGGCGAATGACAGTGTATCCGCGCTGTTGCGCGACCGACCTTCCAAAACAGAGCCACGTGCCAGGGGAACGTGGGACCGTGCGGACGCGCGTCTATTGGCACTCGCGCGAATTCGATTCGATCTCGCCTCCGCGGAATCGCGCTGGTCCGCAAAACTCGACCGTTAGGTAACGTCGCCGGGAGATTTCCGAGCTGCGAGAGCTCTAACCCTCAACTTGGTTATGGAGCACCAGTGCAGAAAATTGCACGACGACCCGTGGCTGGCAAATTCCAATTAAAGAAGTTCATTGCGAAAAACATTACCTCAGCCAGGGTGAGGTCCTTTTTTTTTTTTTTTTATTAGAATTTGCCAGCCACGGGTCGTCATGCAATTTTCTACATTGGCAAATTAGTAAAATTCGTATGGCTCAATTGTGCTGGACACAAATTTGAAGGAATAAAGGACCGAGGGCCGTGACAGGTGTCTAAATATTTTCTCAGCCAGGCTTTGAACCTGGACCACCCTCTCGCTAGGCGGGCACATGGCAATATTCATCGCAATAAACAGTCTAATGTTGATTCCCGAATGCCAGCCGTCGTGACAGTATTCGAAAACGAGAGCCGCCGTTTCTAGATTGGTTAATCAATTACGGGTGTTAGGTAACTCACGGGTTATTCTCTATCTTTCACAAGTTAAAGTAGGAGCCTCTGTCCACGAGTTGTACCCAACAGTTCCCGCCCTCTCGACAGCGTGACGCAGGCCGAACAAAAACCTCGATGTTGCAATAATAAATACCTCGCGCACGAAATTTAATCTCGCGGCAAACCCATTCACGGCTGATCGAACAAACAAGTGTAACGAGGTCGCTGGAAAAACTGCGTAAATAAGGGACCGGAGCTAGGCAGCTCGACCTAAAGCGTTTATTTTGTTTGGGAAACCACACAGGGGCATGAACCGTCGGCGCGGAAGATGAGTATGGCTCGCCGGGTTCTCCGAAGGTATCCGAGAACGATGGCCGGTCGTTCGCGCGAGGTGACGCAGCGCTTCGAGTACCTTCTCGTGATGGACTTGGAGGCGACGTGCGAGAGGCACGAGGTGCTCAAGCCGCAGGAGATCATCGAGCTGCCGTGCGCGGTGCTGTCCACCCGCGACTGGCAGCTGAAGGACATGTTCCATGCGTACGTGAGGCCCAGGGTCCATCCCACCCTCACGTCCTTCTGCACAGAATTGACCGGGATCATGCAGGAGACGGTGGACGACCAGCCGCACTTCGCGGACACGTTCCCGCGGTTCTGCGAGTGGCTGAAGGAGGGGGGGTACGTCGACGAGGCTGGAAAGAGCTCGTTCGTGACGTGTGGCAACTGGGACCTGAAGATCATGCTGCCGAGCCAGTGCGACCTGGACGGCATCGCTCTGCCGGATCAGTTCAAACAGTGGATCGATCTCAAGTACACGTTCTGCGAGTCCACCGGGTACTATCCGAAGAGCTTGAGGGACATGCTTATGCGATTGAACCTTCCGCTGAGGGGGCGTCTGCACTCGGGCATCGACGACGTGGGAAATATGGTCTCGGTGATGCTGGCTTTAAAAGAGAAGCACAACACGGAATTCAACATCACCTCGTCGCTGACGACTTCTCCGATAAACTTAAATAACTACGGGCAGACCGGAGCGGCGAGGGACGTAGCGAAAAAAGACACGTAGCGGTTTATTAGAAATTCGTCTTGCATTAATAAAATATCGATTTTGTTAAACTTTCAGTTACAATATAAATAAATAATCGATTGTCGCGAATATATTCGGATTATCGCCTCACGACGACTTTGATCAACACATCCTGTTTGTTATTCTCCGTGTATATCTCGAGCACAGCCTGCATATTACGATCGATTTTCTGCGAACACTGTATCTTCAGAGAAAAGCTCTTTTTGCTGGGCAACATCCCCTCCGCGGGGACCACACTGAAATGTTTCGAATTCGACAAGCTCGTCTCGAATGACTCGGCCGCTTTGGAGAAGTTAAGTACAGTCACGGTCGCTTCGTTCCGTATCGGAGGAGTGAGTACGATGGTGGACGGAGTTACGGTGAATTGATCCCCTTGCAACTCGTGTTGATTCTCGTGTTCTATCGTTCTGCGTAACAAAATGTCTCTTTTTTTTTAAACCAGAAATCTCAAGTTGAAATTTCATCAAAAGCCAATACAAAGTGCAATAAGAAATATGAATATGTTAGAAGACACATTAGAATATACATACACCATGGACTACTACTTACAGCCCGTATTGGACTACGGTTTGAGATTAGATTGAAATTGAATCAACCAGAGCAGTGAACTCTATACATACTGGAATGAGTGATCTATTGTTCTGGCTGTTGCCGAGAGAGAGGTGCGTTTGGGTGAATCCTTGTCTCCTTCTAGTACTACCTGATTGGATAGTCGCATATAAATGACGAGAAGAAGGGCGTCACTTATATGCGATTATCCAATCAGGTAGTACTAGAAGGAGACAAGGATTCACCCAACGCACCTCTCTCTCGGCAACAGCCAGAACTATAGATCACTCATTCCAGTATGTATAGAGTTCACTGAACCAGAGTAAGTCACTGAACTTGAGATTGGTAAACTTTACTCTGATTGGTCAAATTTCAATCTAATCTCAATCCGTAGTCTGATACGGGCTTATGAGACAGTGGGAGCATCCTCCTGAGGGGAAAGGATAGTATGAATTTATTTGGGTGGTCTATCTTTCTCCGACTCGTGACTCACGCCCATTAGAAAAAGATAGACACCCAAATAAATTTGTACTATCCATCTTCCCTCAGGAGAATGCCTTCACTTAGGACTCTACTGCACCATAAGCAGTCTATAGTTAATATGTCTACGACATAGACGAATAAATAAAAAGCCTCTTACTGAGAAGCGAAGAAACTCGCTCCACCCCCTTCGTCAACAAGTGTAGTGTCGCTTATCAGGGACTGATACATTTCCGATTCGTCGGTATAATGTATAGGCAGAGTATCGTCCGCGCACGCTTCCACTGTTAACATTATCTCGGACTGATGAACGCCGGTGCACAGATCGCTTAGATTTTGCTATTTGAACATGCGTCGTCATTATTGCGTTAACGGACAATGAGGGTAAATAATTGTATGTACTTACGATAGAGTCGCGAATTGACGTTAAACCGGGAATTAGTTGCTCACCGGGGAAAGCTTTACATATGGGATACACAATATTCTTGAACGTCTCGTCCTCATTCAGAGTCAATTCACCTGACTCTTTTATTTTGTTGTATAATCTGAGAAGTATACATTCGCCAGCGATGAAAATTAACGCCAATAAAATGTCTGTGCTATTTAGTGCAACTTTTACCTGCGTATTCGCCAACGAGTCGGTTCATCGCCGTAGGTGACGTTTATCGTTGCAACGTGCGTCACTTCCGTCTGCGAGCGTTGCAATAACGCCAGGTCTTCTTTCTTCGGGTGAAATCGTATTGCTATTAGCTGAGATTCCTTAGAATCAAGTATTATTTCCTTCGGATTTACAGACCAACTGGAATTCATTGTTGGAAAAATAACTAAAAAATATGAATACGTTTATCCCTAGATTCAAGGTAAAAATGCACGTGTATGTACATGACATGCAATGCACAAAGAGAATGGAGAAATCAGTTTAAACCTTTCGGTATAACTGTGATCTTGGCGAACGAACGTAAGTCGCCAACGTTGTCCAATCTAATATTTGCGCTCAAAGTCGTAGTGTCAGAGTACAAATTGCCAAGTGACAACCATATTTTTCCGCTCGAATCTTTAAATGTATTTGTAATCTTCACTCTGCTGTAGCCACCATGTCCATACAAAGGAATCTGTCGATTAAAATTGTAAATATTCCCTCGTCAAACTTGTTAAAAAAAAATAAGTTAAAACGTACTCAGTAGCATCAAACATACGCACTTTTTTGTACTGTTGAGAATCGCTACTTTCTTTCGTATAATGTTTGATAGTAATTTTTCCAACTACTGGACCCACGCAATACGGACTGAACGCAACTGCGAATGTCTTACTTTCTTGACGTTGCATTGCCAGTACCATGCTTGTGTTGATAGCCTGTTTATCTCCAACAAACTGTAATGAAAATTTTTATTGTTATGAATTCCGTAAACTCCTTTTATTCAGATACATAACACAATATGTAGTGGTGTGAGCTTGGCGCAGAGAGATGTGCGTTGCTCTAATGAGCGAAAGATCCGAGTTCAAATCCTCGGAGCCGTTCGGCGTTAAGTTGTAGGTTCCTAAACATATTCTGACGCACAGATATATGCAGAGGAACCACAATGGTTGAAATGACGGAAGGGACGATAACACAATATACTATATGTATGTACGATACCTTAAAGCTTTTACTATCGTCACATATGTCGATTTGAATCTTGATTTTGTTGTTACTCGTATTTCGAAGCGTAAATTCCTTAGTCTCACTTTTTCCTGTTTTCACACTATTCCATACCAGGGCAGCGTGTGTAGCTCTGATCGGAATTATGTTTCCCGCTACAGCTATACTAGACACCGTACTAATTGGTGAATTTCTATCGCAAGGTCCAGATCTATGTACAAGATCATTGCATATTATTATAGTAATAGTGTAATTACACGTACAAACTCGTCAACTTACTTATTAGATGCTACACTTTGTGGCGATGTTGCTGGACTTAATGATGCAACGTTGTTAGGTGTATGGCAACGTAAATAATTATCTTCCTCTTCTCTTCGTTCGGTACTTATGATATAGTGGTAAGCGTTGTTCCCGGCAACTAACTTCATCTTTGCGTATCTGAAGAGATAACAATAAATATGCTGAATAATACGATGGGCAAGAATTTAGAAGTTTTACCAACTGATCGTCTTACCTCTCGCTATTTACAGAATTTGCATCTAAAAATTGTGGTCTATATACAATTAAGAATGACCCTCTTTCTCCGACTTGTAAGAACATATTGTCTGGTTTAACAGAAAAATCTTGCATCGTGATCGGATGCCCTTCAATTTGCACGACAGCAGCGGACACGTGAGTCGCTACGTTCCCCGAGTTGACGATATGTACCAATTTTCCTTGCTGCCTCGTAACGACTATAGGCACTTCTGTGTCGACAATTTGAATTTTACAAATACCAGATTGTGCGTAAAGAGGCACTTCCTTCCTGAGTAATACAGTGTCATTCATGCATTGTACACATACAATTAGGTTGCTCTTCCACTGTTGTGGCAGTCTCTGCGGAGAATCTATTCAACGGAACTTCTTTTTATCTCCAATAGAAAAACGCATACAAAGAATACATCCAATGTGAAACACACTTACTTGTTGATCGCGGTTTCTTACACATAACATTTTTGGTACATTTCTCAAGTGGTGCAAGTACTAAATGGGTTGGTTCATTGATACTGAATAATTTGGATTCATCCTATGATAATTAAAAGCATGTTAATCATTTTTCAATACATCGATTTGATTGTATCTTTAGTAGAGTCATATCTCACTTGTAGTATGGAGAGCTTTACAGGTACGGCAACGTTGTTTTTGTTATGCAACGTTATGGGTAAAACTTTCGTTGTTTCCTCTGTGATGTATTGGAAATCCAATTCCCGTTTGTCAAAAGGACACATGATGTCAAGATCTGGTTGTTCCGGATTAACGAAGATCATGTGCTGTATAGACCATGTTGATTTTGCCACCATGTCTGACAAACATATTTTTAATTCTACAAATATTGGCTTGCACATCTTCGTCACTTTCACTTCAATCTGAAAGAAACAGTACGATAATTATCGATGCCAACAAGAATTCATTTTCAGCCGATACCAAATTATACCTTTGTGGACTGGGATCCATTAGAATTTAAAATCGCTTCCGGAGGTATACCTAATTCGATACTTTGCGCATCTCCTACCACTTTAATTAGCTTAAAGCTGTATCTAATCCATCTACCTCCATTGTTTATAAGTTCAACATTAACTTCACTTGTCATACCAACAATGCAATGGCATAATTCTTTTGTATTCTTGCCAAGAACAACATTCTCTGAAAAATTAAGGAAAAATATTGTCTTATTTATCACACCTATCACAAAGAGAATGAGCAAATAATTGAATAAATCGTACTGCTTGAATTAGTTTGTATCTCTGTACTCTTCAATGAATCTAACACGCTGTTAGAGATATCCTTTTTTCTTATTGCTTCTTTTGGTATATTTAATTCCTTGTAGTTTTCATTATAATTATTTCTGTTTATTTTAAATGATACATTGGACGACGCAGTCAATTTGTCACTGCACGGTAATGTGGAATCTCGTAAAAGCTGGTTCGAAGGTTCAAAATCTGATGTTGACGACACACCTAGTGTTCAAGTTATGTACATATTAAAATATATTACACATTGAAGTTTTTAACTTATATTTTTAAATACTAAAATAGAATATATCAATGTTGGATGTATGATTATATTAAGCTTGGAACCTTGTGCAAAATCAATATAAAACAAAAAAAGGGTATAAATCACAGAGGTCGGAATACATACCTAAATCTGGATTAAAGGAAGATGTAACGCTTTCATCACACGTTTCGTCGTGTATTATCTTTTCGGATACATCTGCGAAGGATTTAGCCTCCTTGACATTTTTATTTGAAGGAAATGACACTCTCATACACTCCCCTTTTACATCAGCGGTTTCGTTGGCAGCTTTATTGTTAGTTTTACTATCTAGTAATAATTTGGCTGAAAGAGCTTCTATATTAGTGTCGTCAAATTTATTAGCAGTCTCAGTAGGCAGGATGGACTTTTCATTGGAAGGACTTTTCAACGTATAAGTTTCTTTTCTCGCGCTTCTGTCCTGTATCACTGAATTCCTCTTCTTTTTCTGCGCCATTAAAAGCTGATCAACCAATCGTCGTGGCGTCCCGCTATCAACATCTTGTAAAGTATTGGCAATGGTACTCAAGCTTAGGATGCTATTTGCATCTGTGTCTCTTGTACTGGGAATACGCATATCCTCCTTTTCCGTCGAGTCTGTCGTCGACGCTGCTACAATACAGCCTTTTTGTACACAAAAAGAAATTTAATGTAACTTTTAATACAAAACCGTGTAATTACCATCCGTCAAGATAGCGGACTCGACTAATGCTGGTAGTTTGCCACTTCTTGCGGGAGTTTCGGAAGCAATACCAAAAAAGCTTGTTCTTAATTTGTCATTGTACCCCAACGTTCCTACATCACCAGATTTGCGTTCAAAGTACTGGCCAACGGATACTTTTCGTCCAGCACAAGAGCTATATAATATTCAGACATCACCTTATTACATATACCTTATATAATCATACCGTATACGCGCAAAAATATACATACTCTACTGTTAGATCTTGTTCTCCCATGAAACCAGAGAAGTTGCTATCGTTTACTTTCTGTTTTCCTGAATTCGCGACTGGCATACTATATGTGTTATTTTGCTGCCAGCAAGCCTGATCGGCGAACAGACGTTCGGCCATTTTTGAGCCAGACAGAAATTCTTCGTTATTGATATCTGCAAACATCTCGTTGTTAAGTTGCGCTATTATGTCGTTTTCACTGATACCGGTGCCATCAAATAAGTTGTTTACAGGAGAATGTCTTTTGGCACTGCTACTGATACCAGATGATCGCGCACTGATTTCGCTGGGTTCAAAGATATCCTGAAATTTATTTTTCCTCAAATATTCTCGTTTTCACATCAGACTCGTTAATCGCGGATACCTACACTGATCGTACAGACTTCGTTCGTTGAGCACACCTTATCGGACGTCCCAATTGGCATAGCACAATTGAAAGCCGGTACATTGTCTGTTATATTTTGCACGTTAGCATTGTTCTCTTTATTTGTATCTAAAACAATTGTCCAATTGATCAGCTTAATACAAACAAACTTCGCTTGCACAGCTATCCCTGTGCATCTGTTTTTTTTCTCTATTTACCTGTGGTTAACGTGGAGCATTTTGTATCGCTACACCTTTGGAGAATCTTCCTAGCGCACAAGAGCTCCTCTAAATTGGGACAATTCACTTTTTGTTCGTCCCCCACTGCGCTTATGCTCATGAGGTCTGCCGACGATAGCACGTTAGTGCAATGCTAATGCTGCTCACAAATCCAAACCCAAATCTTGCCATACGTACCTGACATTCTGAGAAGACCTAACGAAGCGTCCGCTCTCGGCGTCAGCTCATTCTCGTACGACGGATACTGCCTGACCTTCTCCTCGCTCGAACGCCTGTCGCTGAATCTGTTCTCCAGCCTAGAGCAAAATACCTTTTTCAGACGCACCCTCACGCATTATCGCCAAGAATCAACTGCGGTCCGCGCGAGGACGAGTATCGCACGGGGGACGCGAGGAATAATCGCGGGTGGAACGGGCGCACGGGACGAGAACCGGTTCGACACGCGGAGACGCTCGTGAGGGAAGGGTCGTAACGGAACGCCTGTTGATTCGCGGAGGTGGGATTTTTTTCCCGGGAGGAGAGAAAGACGGAGGAGGAAAAACGTACGGGCTTTTTCTACGAACGGTCGACGTGGCCTGCGGCTGCGGCGTATTCACCACCGTGTCACTCAGCACGGTGCCGTAGCCCTTGGGCTTGGATCTGATCGGCGTAAACATCGCAAGGGTCCTTTGTTCCGATCGCGGCGAACAGCAAACGGGCAATCCCGAGCACGAGCGAGTCAGCGGCTCTTCATCGTCGCCGTGGCAGCGCGGACACGCGCGGGTCCTTCGCCGATCCGACCTACCGCGAGCTCGCGTCGGACTTATAAACAATAACAGTCGATCGATTTTGCAGTTCAAATTTGAAAAGTCTCGGAGGTCACCGACGATTGGACACGGACTTGAAGGCCGCGACGTAGTTTATCATCCTGCCGACGCCTTGCATTAATCGCCATCTGCTGGCGAACGTCGTTGCGACATTCGCGGCGGTAAAGCAGAGAGAGGGAGAGAGAGAGAGAGAGAGAGAGAGAAAAGTCCGGGAAACGCGGACATGCCCCGCGTTTATAAGCGAATTTCCATTCCATGTGGAACGCGTTGAGGCCCGTTCCTTGTAGTCGCATTAGACCTTAAAATAATAGCGTTTTCCACTGGGAAATCTAGTGCAACACTGGTGCACACTGAGTGCAATTTTCTTGTTCCACTGTGAAACGGGAAGCACACACTTTTGCATAAGTGCATAAACATATGCAATTATGCATAACGAATTTGATTGGTCCATTTTCTTATGCACTTGCTTATAGACCAATCAAATTCGTTATGTTTGACATCCATTTTTGTTTTGACATCCACTTTTAGTTAAATATCAATAACGTAATGTTGTAAGTTTTCGAAAAAAATTTTATTATATTATATAATATAATTTTATATAGACGATTGGTAAAATTCTCGAATAAAAAATTTTTCGCTTTTCTCGAGTTCACGCTGGAAGACAAGATTCAATGATCGAGCCCCTGCACTTAAAATGAAAGGGATATACAGTTTAGACGTTGGAAAAATAAGATGAGAAATACAAAATAATTTTGCCACGGGGGACAAACCGAAAATTGTTCTTTGTAATCGCGTTACGTTGCACTTACCGTTACAAAAGAACAGAACGAGAAGGCACGGGTTTGCCTTACTACACTTTTTACACTCAAAGTGAGACAAGGGTGTAGCTGGAGGAAGAAGATGAAAAGTGCACAAAGTTCAGCTACGAAGACCAGGAGAGTAGCGCGAAAACATATATCCTAACCTGCTCTAAATTGGAGCAACGACACGTGCTTCCCCGATCAGCTTCATTTATTGCCTTCATCGCAGTTGTTTAGTTGGCCAGCAGCCAAGCACTTGATTAGAATTAATTACGCCTGCAGTCTAGCGTAAAAGTGTACAGTGAATAAGAAACATTGGAGTCGAGCAGCGCAATTTATCCTGAGATAAAGATTTTATAAGACGTACGAGATTTCGATGAATTAAACGTTGCGAACGTTATTTGAAGAAATTGACATAATGACCGACGCAAACGCTAGGGAGATGTTACCGAGCAGCGTTGCGGAGAACGAGAAGAATCCGTATGCGTACCTCGAGAGGGACGATTTCACCTCCGAGAAGTACAAGATAGAAGTGCGCGGCTTGCCCAAGTATTACGGAATTGGCGAGTTCAAGAAGTTCCTGAACGAAAAGCTGGACTTGCAGTCGTGCAAGGTAAAGCCGCCCAGGAAGGGCAGCAGCTGGCTATACGTATGCTTCAGAAACGAGGAGTGTCGTCAGCGAGCGATAAGCACTATAAATGGGATTCTGTGGAAAAATAGTAAACTCACCGCGCAGGTATTCTCCTTCGTTAACGCTGATTACCCCTGCGGCATTAGACACCCCGTTTTAATTCTTGCCTTCTCCTAAGGCCGCCAAACCAGCTCCGGATCCCTTTGTGAAAAGACAACTGGAGGAGGAGTCCAGCAACAAACGTCTGAAGACCGACGCCGAGGATCCAAACTGCTCCCCTATGGATAGAATTAAATTTATCACTACTCCTTTGTGGAACGTGCCGTATCCCGATCAAGTAAGGCATTTCATTATGCTCCCGTGTCGGAAAGTATCAAACCTCTGCTGTACATTTTTAGCTAACACTCAAGCAGAAGGAGATGAAATCTATCCTGATAAAAATTGGCCAGCAAATGCTTGCGGAAAGTAAAGCGCTGACAGAGTGGGTGAATTCGCAGAAACAATTGCACGATGGATTACCATGCGAACTGCAAAATATACTTTCGGCTGACGTCACCGAGGCGTATAGAAATAAATGCGAGTTCACAGTTGGTAATTAGTTCTATATTTTTGTACGAGGATGTAGAAATTCTGCTAGGATGAATTTAAATTTTCCTATTTTACGACGCAGGCAAAGACAGTGAACAGAGCAAAATTATGATTGGCTTTAGACTGTCAACTTACGCCTCAGGTTCTACAGCGGTTGGACCCATTGACGATCTTTGTCACATTCCAGAAAATATGAAAGTCGCCGTAAAGGTTAATTTCAATTGCCGATTTTGTTCAGACGTGACAGAAATAGAGATAGAATCTGAAGTTTATATGTTGTATATTTCAGATACTAGAAACATTTATACACGAGTCAAATTTAGAACCTTTTAATCCAGTAGATCATAGTGGATACTGGAGACAAGTTACCGCTCGAACCACTCGTGCCAGTCATCTGATGTTAATAGTAGGAATACACCCTCAGAATCTAAGCAGTGACGAACTAGAGGAGTTAAAGTCGCAGCTGAGAATATTTTTTGAAACCGGGAAAGGTGCCGATGCTAATGTCACTTCGTTGTACTTTCAAACAATAGATAAGAAGTACGTATATTGTACAAAGGTAGTGTATGCATTTTCTGCATACATTATACTTGCATAATTAAATTTTGCAGAGGTATAGGCGGTGAGAGTAGCGACACCTTATATCATATTAGTGGAACAGAATATATAGAAGAGACGCTACTCGGAATGAAGTTCCGAGTTTCACCTCAAGCATTTTTCCAAATCAATACATTAGGAGCAGAAGTCTTATACAAGGCGGTAATTGATCTTGCCGAGCCCACGATGGACACGGCGCTACTTGACGTGTGTTGCGGTACTGGCACTATAGGTCTCTGTTTCTCGAAGCATTGCGGTGAAGTGTTAGGAGTGGAAGTTATTCCCGACGCTATAAAGGATGCAAAGGAAAACGCTATCAAGAACGATATTACCAACTGCGAATTTTTTATCGGGAAGGCCGAGGACATTTTGTTGCCTGTCATTCAGAGGACAACGAAATCCAATATTACTGCCATTGTGGATCCCCCACGAGCTGGCTTACGTAAGCTATCGTTACACGTAAATAACATTTAAGCTGTTAATATTATAAAGAAATGTTACTTACCTGTAACTTAATCTTTCCCAGATCAAAGGGCTTTATTAACACTGCGTAAATCAAAAAAGCTGAACAGACTAGTGTACATATCATGTGACCCTCGTGCTGCCATGAGAAATTTAATTGACTTAGCACGACCTAGTTCCAAGCAATATCTAGGTGAGCCATTGGTACCGGTAAAGGCCATTGCGGTTGACATGTTTCCTCATACTAAGCACTGCGAATTGATATTGTGCCTTGAAAGGCTTTCGAAGGCGATGAAGTCAAACGAACGTACCGTCCAAGAAAATCCGGAATAAAGTAAGCGTAAAAATGTATTTACATATTTCTTCCATTGTATGTATGTGTTAACATATAGAATTTTTGGGGTATAAATAGAAAACTGCTGGCAAGTTTTATCGGCCTTACATTCGCGACGAAAAGAAAAACGTTTGTGCGTTTCATGTTTCTTCAAAAAATGAGAGTCACATTAATAATGATCATTCGTCCCTTTGAATAAGTTGCATAATTTTTATATCTGAATAATTATTTTATTTAATATAATAATAATGTATATAAACACATAGTTTAAATAGAACTCCAAATATTTTTATATGCGAACTATATATATTTGAGTAAATTTCGCTTAAACGACTTAATATTTAAATAGAAGTATTATAAAGAAATAATCATATAATTTGGGGTGACACGTAACTTCATATAGGAACGGCCAACTCGTGATTGATAACAGATCCCGAGTCTCGGGCTTCACCCCATATCTATTAAGGTATTAATAATAGAACTTTCTTACTGAGAAAAGATTAAGAATTAAATCTGGCGAAATAGACTCACGACTTTTTTTTTAAGGAAAAATAACAGTAAAATAAAGAAAAGAGTTAGTACATTGATATCATCTAGATATTTGCAGCATCTCGACTCTTACGGGATTTATGTTGCTAAGAGGATGTTTTACATTGTTTTCGGCATAGCAAATAAAGGCTTTCCATCATCTTTCAGCTTCATCAATATTACGCAAAGAAAGAGAGAAGAAATGACGATGCAGGAGTTTCCACTTTAGATCTTCAGAGCTTACGCAAACGTTCGTTTAGAATCGGTAATAAGACGATATAATGAGAACTGTATACATTTTTTTTAAACATACGTTCATCGACTAGCACTAAAGACAAAAATAATGGGACAGAAAGTGAGTACGTATCTAAAATTAACTCGCAAAACCGAAACGGAAACCGTGCCCTAGTAAAAATTTCGTTAAAAACTGATAGAACGTGCATCTGTTTCTGACTATTGTGCTATGCGTTTCTTACCCTGCAATTACGGAAGCAAATTAAGAGTGTCGCATATTCTGTGTGCGCAAAAATAAATAGAAGGCTAACTGCAGTTGCAGATACTGTTTTTGCGTATACATCTTATAGAATCTGCAACTTTTTCATTTGCTCCTATCCGTAATTGCAGGCAAAGAAACTCATAGTAAAACAGTCAGAAACGGATAGAATGCGCATTCTATCAGTTCCAATTTTTAATAGGGCGAAGGAACTCAAACGTTTCAGGTTTATATCAAACTATTTTATTTTAGTTGATATGCTTAAAGAGTCATTTAATGGATCTTCGATCGTTTACTTTATAAGCAAGAGGAAAAGTAAGTGTAGGTCCTTCCCGACGCGTCGCGTATGATCCGCGATAGTAGAGGAAACGGGACGGCGATGTAGTCGCTGACAAGAAGGGCGGAGGTGTCCTTTGGCGCGCCGAAAGAAACGGAACTTGCCGGAGAGATCGAATGAGAATCGACTCGGCTTTCCAAGTGCGATCATAATTTTGTGCTATTGTACATTCTTGATCTTCACTTAGTTTCTTGATACTCTAGCCGGGAAAACATTGTTAGAATTTCGTCGTGCTGCTGCAGCTAAATCGAGGAAATAATACGAAATTTCGCGCGCTCTCTTTCGGTCTTCGGGGATTGTGGAGAACTGACGGCGGCGTGATCATTATCACTTCTTCTTGAAGCACGCGAGGGCATTGACGAAACAGGTCCAGAAAAACTCACTCTTGTCTTGTCCGCGTCGTTGCAGATCCATCTGAAAACGGGGAGACACGCGGACGTGGTTTATCTGCAAAACGATCGTCGATTATCACCACATTAAATTCGAGCAATATAATTAATATTTATATTAATAAGCAGTGACGTTTCTGATGCACTTAGATGATCTTTTTGCTATCGTTTAGTTTCTTCGGATTCGGCGTGTTTACACTTCTATCATTATTTCTTCAAATCTATTTATAGTTTACGATATATAATTTTATTAAAATTAATGAAGTAATCGAAGTACAAGATGCTTCATCAATGTGACTGTTTCTTACAGCGCTTGATAAGCGGATAACTTTCGAATCATATTGCACCCTACATGATCGAACTTGTTTTTTACGTTGAAAGGATAAAATACTTTTATTTTAACCCTTTGGTTAACTCCGAATTATATTTCATCTATTTTAATCTATTGGTTTGGACTTGAAAAAATGTCGAGTGAGACTCGACAAAGAAGCTCCTGAGATAAAAACTGATGTCGAGTCACACTCGACATAGGAGTGCAAAGGGTTAATATTGAAGCAATACTGTGGGATTAAAGATAATATTAAAAATCAAATACGAGCAAGTACAAAAATGTTCGATCGCCTTACAAAGTGGCTCGTGGAATCAGATATATCGAATAGAATTGTTTAAAAGTTATTACCGAATTTGCTACCATTTGATCATCCGCCACAGGGACGAATTCCGAGTTGGCAGCTGGAAAACGGTGTGCCACTGACTTGCTTATACCTTTGCCCCCAACTGAACCTTTTCCCGGATTACTGACGGCCTTTTGTAGAGCTACCATCAATTGGTCGAATAATAGAGCCGCTCTTTTTGGCACTACCTGTAATGAAATTAGAATAGAAGGAATTAAAACGACTAAAATGCGGCAAATTAAATTTTCGCGTTGTAACAAACAAAATCTTATCAATTCAAGTACGCTTCGCGGAAGATTCTCTGGGTTACATTTTTCGTTTTTCGTACAAAAAAGGAATTTTACTTTAGAGAAAGTGACAACAATTTTCAATGCGTTTGCTTCTTAAAAAATTATATCGTTATATTTCCCTCAAGTCTCTTTGAATTTTATTTCAACATTTTTTATGTCCCTTTAATATTTCCCAAAATGAGAGATCTCTAATTTAATTGTCTGATTTTATAAAACAATGTGTTTTATTTACGAAACACTTTATATCGTTTATCTATTTACGTCATAGATAAAATTACGACTCATTAAGGGTCTCTTCACAAAGGAATTCTTTATCGAGCCCACTCTTGTTCATTCCGCGCGTTACATTTCCCGCATACGTACTGTAGTCTCTGACAAACATGCTAATAAAGTGTTCTGCAAAACAAAACGACAAAATGAGAATGGCAAGTGATCGATAGACCGCGAACTTATTTCCTCAGTTTGTCTAATTGACAAATGCGCAAACCCTCGCGTGCATGGATTACCAGTTGAGAAATTTAAATGGGAATTGTAGTTTAAATGGAGAAAAATTACCACTGTTATCATATTTATCAGCAACTCGGGCAACTAAATATAATTGATAATTTGAATTAAATAGAAATTTTATTATATATAAATAAATTATTTTAAATAAGTCCATTTTACAATATATTGCATTAGGACTCTCTTTGCGTTTCTTGTTTTCATAACAGGGAAATAATTATAAATATATAAACTGTTTTATGCATTTTTCTCTCTCCTCACTTTCGGTTCGAAAGTTATGTTTTTCTTTATTTATAACTGTAATAAATCTATTTTTAAATCGAGCAACTTCTTCATTATCATTATCAACTAGTTAATGAACGGAGAATTGCACCGCGGAAGGTTAATTAGGAGATATCGGAGTTTTAGTGAGTTAGTCAGGCAAAGAATCGCGTCGTCCTCGAAAGTGGAGAGGAGAAAATGTGGGAATCGAACTGTGTCTGCTCGTCATGACGAAATGGACAGTTTCTTTGTCCTGGAAGTTAACACTAGAATGAAGGATAAATCGACGATAAAAATAATGAGCGCTCAAGAGAATCCAGACAAGATTAAAGATACGCCTTAATACTCCTTGCCTCTCAGGTACGAGAATAACCAGAGCAAGAAAGAATCAATGTGACGAATTTCAGAGTATCGTCCCGTATATATGTATATAAATAACAGTCGTTATCGAATCCTGATCGAGATATGGCATTGGCGAGATAAAGAAAAAGCTACACCCCACTATGTTAAAATAGACAATATTTTTTCCAAGGAAATAAAAAATGTGTGAAAACGTCACAAGGATAATCCATACACATATTTTTTTAATATTTTAATAAATATTTTAATAAAATTAATAAAAATTTTAATAAAATAATTTAATATAATATTTTTGAAAAATTTAATTTGATCACTGAATATTTTACAATAATGTCATGCGATTCTATACATTTCGTTTATAAAAATCTGTGATTCTGCATTAATCAATAATAACAATTAAATGCTCCTAAAAATTAAATATATGTATATAACGTAAAATACGGACAAGGCCTAAATGTTCCTTGAACATTAAGAATGAAATAAGGAGAAGAGTAATGACAGAATAAAAAGTAAATTCAACACTAATGGAAATCATCGCTACCTTTTACTTTTTTCGCAACTTAGTCTTTCCGCGATCTGTGTGGTCTCGCTTTTTTTTGGGCTGTGCTTTTTTAACTTCTGTTTCGACATTCGCAATCACAGTTTCTTTTTTTCTTTTACCAGAACGAATCTTTATCAACACGTCTGATATTATGCTACCATTGTCCGGCAAATTTTACAAACTTTCGTCGGACGAACTTGCTCTTCATTTCTCTTTTTCACTCGTTTCTTTACGAAAAATTGATTTCTTCCTTTAATTTAATTACTTTATCGTACGTCTCTTTTTTTACATCGCTTTATTCGCTTTCTATTCATGGACTTTTCACCGTAACGTTTAATTCTTGCTGACGCATTCGCATTTTCTTCATAACGATTGTGAAAAACATTTGTTTCTGACGGCTCGATCAAGTGGTATAAAATCAGATTAATCCGTTATCAGTTCGCACGCTTGACTCTATATTTTTGTGTAACAAGATTACAATTTCCCGATTACTATAACGAAGCATTTAGGAGAAGAGTGAATTGGATTATCTATATTACTACATCGGGTCCTCTGAAACTTGTGATGGAGCAGATCTAGTTAGTTCGTTCATTACGTACGTGCGTAGGTGTCGTTTATTAATTGGACAATTTTAGAGACGAGTCCGATAGCCGCAACATTTTCCCGCTTGCAATAAATTAAATCTCCTCTTCTGAGATTTAAATATAATTTATTCACGGTAACGTATCTGCGTAGAATTCTGGTGGCCGAAGCAATTTAGATTAAAAAAAACCCCCCCAAGAAAACCCGCAGACAGAAGCAAGCACGGGAAATCTAGGATATCTTGTAACGTATTCTCAAATATTTATTGCAATTCGTGTTCGCAATTTTGCTGCGTCGCGCAAAGCCAAACACAGATTGCCACGCAGGAATCTGGGCTCTGTACACAGTTTGAAGTAAACAATCATGGTCTTGTAATATATTTCATTACATTCTGCACGCACGCGCGTACGCGCACATACACGCGCAATCATTAGTTCCTTCCTAGTTTATTCATCCCGGTCGATTTCCCAAAGGATGTTGCGGACACTTTTCTTTCCTTTCATTACGCCCGCGACCGTTTCGTGGAAAGTCGTGCCCACGCAACCAAGATTCAGCCCGATGAAGATTAGATCGCGAGACCAGCTCTGCGAGAGGGCAAGAAACGTAAATCGCTTAACCGCGTAAGACGCATTTCGTCTGATCTCCTCGCGAACCCACCAAACCTTCCTGCATTCAAATAGTGCGGCACGCTGCCACTTATTCACTCCTTTCAATTGAGATCCAGCTTTAAACGCGTAATGAAACTGCCCGCGGTACTTGGTACTTTCCCGGCAAGAAGCCCTGTTCTCTCATAAAGCCCTCACCCCGTTCTGTTCATTGATATATGTGCTTTTAACTCTGCGTGACAAATACAGATGAAAGCCTTAGTTCTATTCAGAGAAAAGTGCAAAATTATGTTTGACAATTGTTACAATGTGCTTAACACTGGACTTTAGGATTGCACAATAGAACAAAGCTACGTGTCACTTCACAAATAACTCGGGATCGGAGAATTTCTTGGAAAACGGCATCAGTTAAATTTAATAATGAAAATCTTGCTTTTCCGGATACGTCGATTTCCTCTTACGGTCTAGGCGGTTATTGTGTATTATCGTATACACTACATCGTGAAGTTTCATTACGTGTTTAAATTTTATAAATTTTATCGGGGAAAATTAATGATGGAGTGGAACTTAATGTCAAAGAATATTTTGCAAAATTTTACTTCTGAAGTAGCAATGTAATTAAAATTTCAATAATATTCTAACACCTTATTTATTTTTAAAGTAAACCTTAGACAGAATAAAAAAAGTCTCACGACTGATCATTAAATCGGTTTCGCAATGAACTTACTAGCCAAACTGAAATTGTTAAAGTAGTTTTGATTGTACAAAATATTTTATATTTCAAGTATCGCAATCTGCGATTTTTTAACTAAAATACCGATTTAATCTCTTGTAACACGAGACGAATCAGTTTGGTAGATAAAAATTAGATGGGATAAAAATCTATTTAAACTTGCTGTATTATTTTTTGTAAAGAGAAAAAAGATTTAAATCCTCGTGTTCATAAAATAGGGTGTTATGTGTGATTCACATCAATGGCATGCAATTGTAAATGCTCTTCAAAGCTATTCATGTTATTCAAAATTATTGTGTGTACTGAAGACCAGCCGAATATTCTAATCAACGCTGGTGCGTTAACAAGTTAACGGAACAATTTTTAACGGGGAGAAACATACCGACAGCTATTAGCAAATGCGATGAACAGAAAAGAAAAGAAAATGGAAACGATCGGCCACGGTTGCGACACCAGACTAGGCAATCAACGTTTAATTGCGACATTCATGGACACTTAAAAGCATTATCGACAGTGTAGAGTTTATTATTGTCACGTACACCAGACGAATGTCGAATTAAAGAGAAGAGTGAAATAGGGAGAGGAAGGAGAGAGAGAGAGAGAGAGAGAGGGGGGGGTGTATGTGTGCACGGATAGAAACATACATCTTTATTTTCAACTTTTTGTAAAACGGTCGTGATTTATTCACGAAGACGAGATGCACGTGGATATATATGCTTGCGCAAAAATGCGTTGTGAATACGTATAATATCACGAAGCGAGCGGAGAGTTGTCAGTACAAGCAAATTGATTTGCTCATTTTGCGCGGATACAGCCTTTCCACAAAGTGTCCTTATACAAATTTTATTGCTATTCATTCGGGGCTGAATCAAGTACAGAAGCTGTAAAATTTTCACGTAGCAATCCCGGTGCAATTAAACGCCAAATTGTTGCCAACGAAGGAACAATTTTTTTAAGAACGTTCTTAAAAATGCATTGTGCGTGCAATTGAAATTCTGATTGGAAATGCTTCTCGCTACAGCTCACTTTGTATTACCGTGCTGCTGACAATAGCGGCGCCGAGCGATAATGCGTTTGACTTTTACAAACACACGCAAGTACGTATTTATGAAAAGTAATACATTTACGTATAATGAGCGAATGCATTTCAAACTCTGAAAACTGACCAGCTGCATCGCATATGCCCGTCTCTACCAACGCAGTTTCACTTTAATCTTGGGTCAACTAACTGTATATCTTTTTCTAGTTTTACGAATTAGAAAAAGATGAGAAGTAATTTAAACCGAGATGAAAGTCAATCTGCATTGGTAGA